AAGGGGTCAAATATGTAGTGACAGAAAGGAATCTCATTGTGGGCAGTTAACACACAATACAAAATATGCGATTTACTGATGAGTTGTACACCTGAAACTTACTGGGTTTCGTTAATCAATGCCATAATAAAAAAAAATAGATAAATAAAAAATAAAAAAGCTCAAATAAATAAATAAATAAAAGACACACACAGACTAAAATAAAGGGAATGGAAAAAATATTGCCTTGATGGACCTAGAAAGTATTGCGCTGAATGAAATAAGTCAGATAGAGAAAGAGAAATATGCATGATTCACATACATGTGGAATCTAAAGAACAAAATAAATAACAATGACAACAAAAATGGAAACGAACTCATAGATACAAAGAATTTTTTGAAGGCTACTAGATAGGAGGGGATTGGGGAGACAGTGAAAAGGGCAAAGGGATTAAGAAGTACTAACGGATATATACAAAATAGTCATGGAGAGATAAAGTGCAGCCTAAGAAAAATAGTCAATGATGTCATAAAAGATATGTAAGAGGGAAGAGGGGTACTAGATTTGGTGGAGTGACCACTTTGTGAGTTATAAAGATCTGTAATCACTATGCTATACAACTGAAACTAATATATTATTGTATGCCAATATAATTGGAAAAAATCTCATTGAATTGTACAATGTAAATATGAGCAACTAATTGTTATATTTCAATAAAACTGGGGAGAATCAACAAAAATAATAGGTTTTTTTTAAAGATCAACAAAATCGACTGGCTCTTAGCTAGATTAACTATCAAAAAAAGAATGAAGACTCAAATAAAATCTGTAATTAAAAGAGAGATATTATAACTAATGTCACAAAAATTACATGGATTATAATACAGATCCAAGAAAATGTCACCAACAAAGTGGATAATCTGCAAAAAAAAAAAAAAAAGAATCAATTCCTAGAAATATGTAACTTACCAAGATGAGATCATGAAAAAATAGAATGAGGAAGAAGATTAAATCATTGATCAAAAGACCCAGAACCAGATGGAGAATTCTATCAGACATTTACAGATTATTCAATAATACAATAGCATTGTGGTTATATAAGAAAATATCTATATAGTTTATAGGTGCATTCTGTAACATGTAGAGATACATGAAACAAGTATAGCAAAATCTCATTTGCCCATTCTGGGTCATAAACATAAAGGGAGTTATTTTAGTACTCAATATTCAGTCATGCTCACTTCTCTTAGTCTCTGTCCCTGTCGTTTTAATGACAATTTTGGTAGCATTTGCTCAGATTCCCTTGGGGCTCTGTGGTGTTTGGTCTTGGAGGATATGGGAGCAGGTGCCTTCCGGGTTGGAGGAAGGGGGCTCTGGTTCAGCCTTGTGTTTTGCAACCGTGGGTGGTAATAATCATCTCTTGCTTCTCTGCCAGCCCCACTTCTATGCTTTCTGTATTGATCCCTGGGCAATGCTGCTGCATGGAGCTCACAGCTCTCTCAGGTAGGGTTTTTCAGCGAACCTGCTGCACCTTCTTCCCTATGCTTCTTCCTGTAGGGAACTCTGCTGCAAGAGGCAGCTTCTTGTTTCTCCTGGCCTGCAGCCTGACACCCGTGTTTCTGACCGGTGGTAGCTCTTGTTCACAGATCCTTCACTCAAACAAGCTTGTGTGCAGGTTGGGTGTTATTTGTTGAGTTTTAGATGTTCAGCTTATTGTTATTTCAAGGGGAGAGATCTGGAACATATCTCACTCTGCTATGCTTTTGACATCACTCTCTATTTCCATTTTTATGTTTTTTATCTCGTTGTTAAAGTTCTCGCTGAATTCATCTACACTTCCCCTAAGTTCATTGAACATCTTTATAACCAGTGTTTTGAACTCTGCATCTGTGAGATTGCTTGACTCCATTTTTCCTGGATCTCTTTTTTGTTCTTTCATATGGTTTCTGCTTTTCTGTCTTCCCATTTGGGCTGCCTTTCTGTGTCTGTTTCTACATACTAATCAAAGCTCCTAAGTCTCCCAGTCTTATTAGTGTGGCTTTGCGTAGTAGGTGTCCAGAGACACAATCCTGAGAAGGATTCAGCTACAGGCAAAATTTATACCCAGTCTGTGCCCATTTGGGGCCGCCTATTAAAATTCAGCAAGCAACCCACAGATGCTCAGCATATAATTTCCTTAAAAAGCCACGCCAGAAACTGATTTCAGCTGCCACCAGTGTGAGTCTGGGAGCTGCTCAGCAAGTGGCACAGGACTCACTGAGGATACGACTGAATGTGGCTTGGGTAAATCTGGGAGTTTGGGGAGGCAGTTTCAGGGAATCCTCTGGGGAGAGCAACCTCTATTGTCCAGTTCAATGAAGTCTCAGCTATGGCAGTACTGAGTTTGCACACTGGGAGGGGTAAAGTCTCAACAGGGAAACAATGGATACCACCAGCACTTCCACCTGGGAGAACACTTCCAGTCCTTGCTCTGACAACTCAAGTGTCCCTCTGCAACTATCTGGTGCCCTCCGGGCAGCCCACCTGGTGCTGGTGCTCAGAGCCAGCAAGTCTGTCACCATGAAAGTTTGGTTGTGGACACAATTCCTTTCAGGGGAATGGCTACACCTACAGGCTGCAGCTGCTGTAGCTTCTGTACTACTCAGCCACTCCAGACTGGGTAGCCTCGCATCTTCGCCTCCTCCTACCTCCTACCATTGCATGGTGATTTCTTATTTCTCTCCCTAGTTGTAGGGCTTTTGTTCATCTAGACCCCTGGAAACTCTGTTTGCTGTTTGCACCATGTTTGCATCACAGTTTTGATGTGGTTGCAAGAGAGACGAACAAAGCTTCTATCATTTATGCCATTTTGCCCAGTCCCTTTTGATTATTTCTGTTGTTTTTCTAATCAGTATTTTATATCTCTCTGCTCTAATGTTTATTATTTTCTTCCTTCTGCTAGCTTTGGGTTTTGTTTGTTTTCCCAGTTCCTTGTGGTGTTAAATTAGGTTATTAATAAGATATTTCTTATTAAAAATGTTTTAACGGTTATAAACTTTCTTATTAGCAGTTCTTTGACTGTATAGCATAGGTTTTGGTATGTTGTATTTTCTTGAAAATATGTCTGAAGACATTTTCTAATTTCTTTTGCAATCTCTTTTCACTCATTAGTTGTTTGTGTTATTTAATTTCCACCTATATGTGGGTTTTTAGATTTTTCCTTCTGCTATTGATTTTGAGTTTATTTCAGTTTGTTCAGCTTTTTTTTAAAATTGGTGTTTGAACAGGGATGATAACTTCAAAGTTCTTTACATGCCCAAAAGGTCTTCTCCACTATTTTTTCAGAGTACCCTTAGACTTCTTTCTCCATTCGTTATTGCAAATTAAGTCAGCTCTTTTGGGAAGAGATTAGATGCTCTCTGTTTTATTTCTTGTTTCTCCTTCCAAGAAAAATCTCTTGGTAGGGACATTGGCAAGTTTTTCCCTGAGTGTCAGCACATTCTAATAATTGAGTGTTCAGTGAAGAGAGACATCAGCCTGAGGTTCTTTTGCTTGCCCCACAAGGCATGGAGCTACTGCCTCACAAGCTGGGGCAAGGATGATCAAGGCCCCAGTCTTCATGTGCTGTACCCAAGGTAGAGCCTCTGTTTCACAAATGGGGCTTGAGTGATAGAAGGGACCTTGTCTCCCCAATACATCTCCCAACAATTTAGTCTCAGGGATATGTAGATGGGTACTGAGTGAAAAATGCTGTACTGTCTTTTGTTTTGGTATCAGGGAAATACTGAATGACTCAGTTCTTTATTTTTGTAAATTTCTTTATGCTAATAAACATCTAAGATCCAGATTATATTTTGAAAGATAAAATTTTTAGTTAATAGATTTAGATTTCCATCCTAGGTCCTCTACATAAAAGCCATTGGATCCTGTACAATTTCTATTCTCCCTCAGATTGTTAACTTATCTACACTATGGGGTTACTGATACCTCTATTGAGGCTTCTTGTGAGGTATAAATGAGAGAATATTTGTGAAGTGCCTGACACATGGTGTCTAGAATATAACAAGTAAATATTAATTTCATTTTTAAAAATTTCCTTTTCTTGTTTTTTATACTCCAATTATTTTAAGATATCAAAACAAGATTTCTGAATCAAAAAGCTGAGTAATATAAAATTTTATTTATTCTTCTGCATTATATTTTCTTTATATCTTATTTTAAATCTTTTGGCCCCTCTTATCTAATTGTACCTCAAGGAACTCAGGGGAGTAATTTTTCAACAAAACTAATTAATATACTACTGTTATTTCAATATTTAACATAATGTTTAATAATTTTTATCTTAGACATTGTCTGTATATCAACTCTTCTATTCAGACAATCTATATAACTTCTGACAGATCATTAAAATCTTACATATTTTGCCTCTGCATTCTGTTCAAAACCTTATCTTTACCTATAATTACCCTTCTTACTTTGCTTATCTTTTTCTCAAATCTCCCATTTGACCTCATTTTTCAGACTTCCTTTGACTCTCACCATCTAAAATGACCCTTTAATTATATTTAGAATTCATATATATATGAATATGTGTATATAGCACTATTTATGAAAATATTTTATATTGTATACACATTAACTATTATAGTTATTTCAATATTTGTCTTTTAACTTTATACTGAAGTTAAAGTAATTTGTATATTATTTTCTAGACATTATCTTTGTGTTTCGGGGTAAAGATAATGTAAGAAAAATAATATGTCTACTAAAAATATTTTTTTTGTATTTCCCACAGCATAATATCTTGGTTTAGACTCTACTCAATAGTTTTCTACTGTGTGCATAAACCGACACTAACGCTTGCAGAAATCTATTCGCACATATTTACTGCCAGGTCATGAAATGTGAGGCAGGATAGATCTCTTGTTTGAATAAATTTATTATGTTATGCTTGTCTCTGTTATTTCCATAACAGAAGTAAGAGTAACAGAATATGTTATGTTGGCTTAAGGGAACATATTTAAATTGTTCTTTCTTTCTAGGGACAATTACCATTTGCTGTAGTGGGAAGTATGGATGAAGTGAAAGTTGGGAAAAGGATGGTCAGAGGTCGCCAGTACCCTTGGGGAGTTTTACAAGGTATGATAGTAAGCAGGCTTGCTCTGGACTGCAAATAAAAAAAATAAATAAATATATTTATACTTATATTTATAATGATGTATACTATATTTAAGCTACATATGTATAGTATATGTATGTTATTATAATCTCAAAATATCATTTTAATTTGAGCCAATATTGGTAACTGTTGCTAAACAATATATTTACAGTTACTAATAAGGAGAAGAAATTCTGTTTTATTTAAGCTAACACTTACTTTATCATTTATGTTCATAGGAGTTTGCTGGATGGTGTTTTAGGCAAAAATCCACAGAGGCTGGACAGAACCCCCTCATTTACCCCAATCTATACATGCATATTATCTTTCTATACTTGAACCATCACATTCAGAATGTTGGGAAGTACTTTGAACTAAAGAACTTTGCACAACATTGAAGCCTAAATACTACTGTTTAAAATATGTTACATAAATTAATTACTACCTAATTTATAAAACATTTTAAATTGGTCACTAGAAAAAAAGGATAGTAAACTATTTTTAAAATAAATAAATATAAATCACCTTTGGATAAATTATAACTATACTTTTATATTTGTTACTTAGCATCATGAAGAGTTAGAATATTCTAATAATCAGTCATTTATTGTCTAGTTCATATTTTTGTAATACTTATTGGGGATTAGATTCTATCTCTAGGTACTAGTTTCCAAATATTGTTTTTAAGTGAGTTATTAGAAAATTTAAATATTTGAAACATACTTTAAAACAATATATTTTAATAAATATTAAATTTAGTTACAATACTGTACACAATATACAATATATTGTGCTCAGTCTTTTGGATATAACAAACACAGAAGAAAGCCTTGTGAATTTACTGATTTATTTTGAATATTGACTAATTCAGTCTCATTAATATCTTGTATAAATAGAATTTGATTTATATTGTGTTGTGTGATCACCACTCAAAGTTAAATTTCCTTCTGTCACCTTATATTTGTTGAATGCATACAGTGTATTATTGAATTGCACACTTGAAACCTATGTAATTTTTAAAACTAATGTCACTCAATAAATTTAATAAAAATAAATAAATATAATTTGATAACTTAAGCATGTATAATTATCAAGATCTTTATGTTAGCAGGATTTAATTTACTGAAATCATTTATTTTAGTGAAAGTATATTATATTCTTTGTTAGCATTCTGTAAAATACCTCAAGGGTAGTTTATAAAATATGAACATAATTATTAACGAAAACTTGTGCTATTCACTAATGCAGCACAGTTGTTTCACTGTTTCATATTTATTCTTTGGTTAATAAATTTAAATCAAATTTTCTGGTCTACAGATAAATTCTGTCTATAATTGGTATATACCACATAAACATAGTTACATGGTTAAAACAATTATAGCTATTAATCAGAATGATCTCTTAACTGTTATGTTAAAAAGTTTTTCATGCATGCATTTATTCAGTAAAACTTACCGAGTGCCAGGAATTCATGTGTCATGGCTTTATTATTTCTCTGCCTAGTGGAAAATGAAAGTCACTGTGACTTTGTTAAGCTTCGGGATATGCTTCTTTGCACAAATATGGAAGACCTGAAAGAACAAACTCACACTCAGCACTATGAACGTTATAGGTGCTGCAAACTGCATAAAATTGGCTTTACTGATGTGGGCCCAGACAACCAGCCTGTTAGGTGGGTAGAAACTTTTTTAGAACAAGCTAGTGGATGATTTATGACACCTCTACAATTGTGAGATGTAATCATTTGGGAATGAGAATAACTACTTCTCATTTCTTGGGTTTTCCTGAATTTTATGTTTTTTAATCATCTTCAAATGTAGATGGAGAGCATTATTAGGAGTAATAATGCAAGAGATCATTTAGATGCTAAAATATGTGCTAATATGTATATTCAAAAGAGAAGTTTAAGAATGAAATTGACAAATATTAATAAAGACTAACAAAGGCTAGAAAAGGATATTGAGAAAGATGCAAAGACTATTGAGAATTGAGTGGAAGAAAGAGTAAAAACAGTAGCATGGTATCATGGAAGCCAAGTGAAAACAGTTGGAGAGCAGGTGTATTTAGCTATATTAAATATGAACAGGATTTGTGCTGTGAAAGTATGATAGTGTAGTATAATCTAGTTCTATTAGTTATGGTACTTTGAAGACAACCAAAATTGAACTGTCTATATTAAATGAGTCATAGTTTGGAAAACACTTGGTTTATTTCAATTATTTTGAGAACCTCATAAATTAGAGGTTTTCCTAAATTTTATTGTGAAAAGATGTGAAGTATGATACAATAAAAAGTGGTGAAAATAAGAAATCACCGATATAACTTTTTTAAAAAAATTTACTACTCTTTACATATACTCTTTATATACTTTTATATTCCATGTTGCACCTACCTCATTTTCTACATCTCATGATATAGAAATTTCCATTTCTATACATGAAAGAATATAGGTAAATGTCCTTACGTGGGACTTAATTTACAGTATATCCTTGCATTTTTATTTATATTAACATTTTAATAAGTAATAAAAATTTCTTTTTAGTTTTCAAGAGATCTATGAAGCCAAAAGACAGGAGTTCTATGATCAATGCCAGAGGGAAGAAGAAGAATTAAAACAGAAGTTTATGCAGCAAGTAAAGGACAAAGAAATGACACTTAAAGAAGCAGAAAAAGAGGCAAGTACTTCTAGTTCGACATAATTTCTATTTAGTTTTAAGTGTCCTAGTAATTTGGGGAACTTAATCTTAAGAATTTAGTTGATGTTTTTGGAGACCACTTGCTATTTTTAAAAAAGTAGCCATTTACCACAGATTTTGAATACAGCCTTTAAAAATTATAGTCTGTAATTTTTTTGGAGCATTTGGAAAATTTTCTTTTTTAAAATAACTCTTAAAAATGTAAAAGTATATTTTTCTTTATTTATAATTTAAAATTTCATGCATAGAGTTTAATTTATAACAGATTCAGGCTATTTACTTCTGGGGAGTCATGTACTTTCTAACATTACTACTGCATTAGGAAATTTTCCACACTTTTATAAATAAGCAGGTAAATGTTGACTAATGCATGTCTTAATTAATTAAAGACATTTTTAGTTGCTGAGTTTTGTGGCTCTCCTTTTCATTTCATTTCATTCTGTTTCTAAGGAAATGGAAAAAAGAGACTACTAATATAGTTTTGATTATTTGCCACTGGTAGTTTTTGGCAAAGGAATATATTAAGAAACATAAGTATTTTTATCTCATGTAAATGTGGTTTTGACCTAAGAATATTTAGTTTTAATAAGTAAATTAGAATATGAACTTCTTTTTTCATAGAAACAAGATAGTCACTAGGTGCTGTATACCAAATGTGTCAGTGGGGATAATTGAACTATAAATAATAGAAATTCCATTAGCTTACATATAAGGAAAATGTTCTGGAAATTTTCAAAGATATCTTATTAAATTCAAGAACAGGAAGCATAACTAGATCTCATGAGGACTTAAACCCAAAGTAAGAAGTGACCAGAAACCTAATCAACCATTTAAGTTTTTTATTTCTTCCCTACCTCATTCCCCTTATTTATGGTACTTATCTCTGTACATCTGCTTTATTTTTGCTCATTTTCTTTCATTCCTCTCAGGAACAAACCACAGCCTAAAAGTAGTTGTGCAAAGTGATGAGTAGCAGGTATTCTTAACAGGGTTTAATAATGCCTGTAGGAAGAAGCAAATGAATTTCTTTCTGGTAGAAATAAAGTAACCAGGATTCTAAAGTCATCCATAGAGAATAAGGTGACAGGAAAACAGTCCCACCTAGCTTGTTCAGAAAAGAAACAATTATTTAAAACATGATGAATAAATAGCAACTCTGATTAACTGACAAGGACAGTGAAGGCTCACAGAGGTAAATTAAACTTTCTAAGCATAGCTAGCAGATAGATTAGTTAGCAGGGAATCTTACATCTTTAAAATTTTCAAATCTTAAAAAAATGCATGTTTGTACATATCCCAAATTCTGGAAAGTTTTTTTAAAAATATATTTTAATTTATTTCTTGTATTTTTCAGAGGATTACCTGTTTATCATGTTCCTTTTAGTTTGTCTTTCTCTTATATATATTTCACAAATATATTAATATTTCTCCTAACTTGTTTCCTGTCTTTTAGCTTTATTTATAGTCTTTGTTCAATGAAAAATTTATACCTTGTTGTGGTCAAATGTACTACCCTTGTCTTTTATAACCTTTGCATTTTTTTCTAGTGCCTAAGGAGGACTTATGTAATTACCTGAAGGGTATAAATGTATATTCCTATATTTCCCCTAATATTTTAATAAATTTGTAACTTACATTTGGATAATAGTTTTTTATTGGTAGACAATCATACAAATATCATTTGAGTAATCCACTCTCTAGTGGAATCGAAATGCTACTTTATTATATTATAGCATTGAATTTCCATAAATGGTTTGTTTATGGACTCTCTTTTCTGTTTCATGGATGTGTTTTTCTCATTCTGTTCCAGAGTTACTCAGTTTTAGTTATCACAGCTTTAGAAGTTTGTTTTAATATCTATTAAGGCGAGTCTCTCTTCTCATCTCAGTATTGTCAAATTGACTACTATTGCATATTGTATTTTTCAGACACATTTTATATCTTATCAAGTTTCTAACACATCCTGTTGAATGTATATATTTTTAATTTTATTTTATTATTAGTTTCAAGTATACAGTATGTTGGTTTGACATTTATACAGTTTATAAAATGATCTCTCTACTTGCTCCTTCTCTCCTCTGGCTCTCTACCTAGCCATTATGTTAATGCTAACTGCATTCCTTATGCCATGCTCCCCATCCCCGTGACCATCATCAACTACTAATTTGTACTTCTTTAACCCTTCACCTCATTCTCCCAGGCCCCCAACGCCCGTCTCCTCTGGCCGTCACCAGATTGTCCTCTATATTTGTGAGTCTATTTTTAATTAGTTTGTTCTTTTTGTTTTTTAGATTCCACATGTAACTGAAACCATATGGTATTTATCTTTCTCTGTCTGACTTACTTCACTCAGCATAATAACCTCTAGATCCATCCATGTCATTGCAAATGGTAGGATTTCATTTTTTTATTGGCTGAGTAATATTCTATTGTATACATGAACTATAACTTCTCAATTGTCTGTTGATGGGCATTTAGGTTGCTTCCATATCTTGGCTATTGTAAATTGTGCTGCCATGAACATAGTGGTGCATAGATCTTTCCAAATTATTATTTTGGTTTTCTTTAGATAAATACCCAGAAGTGCGGTTGCTGGGTCAAAAGATATATCTATTTTTATTTTTTTTGAGAAAGCTCCAAACTGTTTTCCATAGTGGCTGTACCAATATGTAGTTCCACCAACAGTGTATGAGAGTTCCCTCTCCTCTTGGAGAAGTATCTGTTCAGGTCTTCTGCCTATTTTTTAATAGGGTTGTTTGAGTTTTTTGTCGTTGGGTTATATAAGTTCTTTATATATTGATTGTAATTTCACTGACTTGATAGGTTAATTTCCAGAAAAATAACAATTTTACAAACATTGTGACTTACCTTGAGGATATTGTATTTTTTCCTATTTATTCAGAACATACATTTATATTACTCAGAAAAATTATTTAGAATTTATATAGGGTTTGCTCATTTTTTTGTTAAGCTTATTTTTAGGTCTTTAAAGTTATCTTTCATATTACATATAAAAGAATATATCTTTTATATACTGAAATTGATTTTTGCATGAGAGCAGGAAAGTTTTATTTTAATTAGTCTTAATAATTTTCAATTATCTTGTTTCTTATTTAAATAATTTAAAAGTTAGGGACACATTTATGTACTTTTTCATCCACTACTTATATTTAGCATTTGTTTTTCTTATTTTATTGAGCAGGTTGTGACTTCAAGGAGAATAATTACCAGTAATCCTGTTTTGCTGACTTATTAGAAAAGTTTTTAATATTTCATAAAGTATTATATAGGCTGGTGGACAATTTTTTCAAATTAAGAATTTTTTTTGTTAAATACAGCTTTATTGAGTTGTAATTCTCACACCACACAATTTATTCATTTAAAATGTACAAGTCAATGAATTTTAATATATTCACAGATATGTGCAACAATCACTAGTATATATTTTAAAACATTTCATTATCCCAAAAGAAATCCCATACCCTTTAGCTATCACTCCCTACTCCCTCTCTCTTTCCTCTCTCCCCAAGCCCTAAGCAATCACTAATCCACTTTCTGTCTCTGTTCTGAACAGATATCCTTGTTCTGAACATTTCATATGAATGAAATCATAACATATGTGTTTTTTTGTAACTACCTTCTTACTCGTAGCATAATGTTTTCAAGATCATCTATACTGTATCATGTATTAGAACTTTTTTTCTGGCTAAATAATATTCCATCATATGAATATACCACATTTTTTATTCATTCATCAGTTGTTGATAATTTAAGTTGTTTTCACTCTTAGTCCAGTTGAAAAATGTTGTAATAAACATTCATGTACAAGTTTTTGTGTGGATGTATGTATTCATTTCTCTTGGGTATATAATTAGGAATGAAATTACTTTGATAACTCTATGTCAAATTGGTTGAGGAATGACAGACTGTTTTCCAAAGCTTTAGAATCATTTTGCATTATTTATTATTTTTATTTTTCAATTACAGTTGACATTCAATATTATTTTATATTAGTTTCAGGTATACAGCGTAGTGGTTAGACATTTATATAATTCATGAAATGATTCTCCTTGATTAGTCCAGCACCCACCTGGCAATATACATAGTTATTACAATATTATCGACTATATTCCCTATGCTGTACTTTATAAACCTGTGACTGTTTTGTAGCTACCAATTTGTACTTCTCGATACCTTCTCATTTTTTACTCAGCCCCACAAGCCCCCTCCCATCTGGCAACCATTAGTTCGGTCTCTTGATGAGTCTGGTTAAAATTTTATTAATTTTATGTTTTCAAAGACCAAGCTCTTGGTTTCATAAATCTTTTGTATTTTTTTGGACACTATTTAAATTATTTTCATTCTGATCTTTTTACATCCTTCCTTCTCATTTTGGTCTTTGTTTCCTGTTTTTAGTCTAGTTTCTTTAAGTGTAATGTTTTGTTGTTTATTTGAGATTTTTCTTTTTTTTGAGGTAGGCCTGTATTGCTGTGAATTTCTCTCTTACATCTGCTTTCTCTGTGTCTCATAAATTTTAGATCATTGTGTTTTCCTTTTAATTTGTCTCTAGATATCTTTTAATTTCTTTCTTGATCTTATGTTAACCAATTGATCATTTAATAACATGTTATTTAACCTCTATTTGGTTTCATGTTTTTCCATTTTTTCTTGCAATTGAGTTCTAGTTTTATGCCATTGTGGTTGCAGAAGATACTTTATATGATTTCAATCTTAAATTAATTAAGCCTTGTTTGCTGCCTAACCTGTGATTTATGTTGGAAAATATTACATGTACATTTGAAAAAAAAATGTACTACTGCTTTGGGGTAAAATGCTCTAAAAATATTATTAAATCCGTCTGCTGTAGTGTATCATTAAAGGCCACTGTTTCCTCATTGATTCTCTGTCTAGAAGATATGTCTTTTCTTGTTAATGGGGTGTTAAAGTCCCCTACTATGATTATATTACTGTCAGTCTCT